AATACTGATACCTAGTTTTATATTAACATTTATACATCAGGATTCTCAAAAGGGGTTGACTTCAATGGGTTACTATCTGGCTTAATACATCTGGATGATTTATATCTCATTTTGTCTAAGCATTTATGCTAATAAATTTAACAGATTCCACAGTACTGCCTGGTCCTTAGGGACCTTCTCCCTAAGGTTTGCGGGTTTCTTTACCGGGTTAAAGTGAGAAGAAAGTAAAGAAGCGTGTTACAAAAACAAAAAAACAAGACAACAACAACAACAAACAAACAAACAAACAAAAAACAACCACCACCAACAACAACAACAAAAACCAAAACAAACAAACAAACAAACAACAACAACAACAAAAAAAACGAAGAAGCAATTGGCCCAATAGATTGAGAACACAAAATCTCTGATTATAGTTAAACTGTATTAGCAGTCAAAAAGGGTGAGGGGAGGAAAGTTCCCAGATTTAGGTAGATTTCTGTAATTAACCTATTTCTCAAATGTGAAATCACAAAAGTGACAAAGTAGTTAGCAAAATAATTTACTGAGGAATATTTGGGTCCTATATACTTAAATCCAATGCTCAGGGAAATCTGACTATTAAACTGCAGTTGGGAGAGTGAAAAGGAGTAAGATAAAATTCAGTTTATAAAATGTATTCCATCATCTCTTTTTTTATAGGTTAAAAAACACAAAAGAAATACTTGAAAAGATTTTTCTAAGATGGAAACACTTTAAGATTGTGTGAGATATTTTTTATTTTTAACAGGTACATAATAAATTTTGTTTTGTTTCTCTCTCTCTCTCTCTCTTTTTTTTTTTTTTCTTTCTTTCCCCCATTTTCCCCCTGCTTGCAAAGTTGAATCTGGGGTCAGGAGTTCTAATTGTAACCTCAGACTGGAATTCCAGATGGTGCACTCAGGACTGGAAGCAACTCTCAGTTCATCAATTTCATGGGCCTACGTATCTGCTCTGGCCACGGCCTGGCCTCTATCCCCACTGTGGCATTAATGCAGAACAAATTGAGACATATCCTCTATATAATTAGTTCCAGAATTTAAAAAGATTTACGGTATAATAATAGAGGCAGCACTGAGGAATCCTTTCATTGGGGACTCTTGGGGAGCTCAGGGACCATCTCTTGGTGGCATCAGAACTGCCAGGGGTAACCCGGACGGCTCCTGGCACAGAGAGCTGGGGGAGAGGGGAATTTTTTTGCACCGTGCACCAGGGCAGTGCTCAATGATTGTGGGCGCCTAAACCGGGTCAGAGAGAGAGTTTGAAGACTGATCAGAGATCGATGTATTTTTTAAATTAACAGAGAAAGCCCGGGGGTGGGCTATGCCACAAAATCCCCTCTTTTGCTTTGAAATCTATTTTAATTTTAGAAATGAAGCTGTGATTTTTGCTGCGGCGTTGGGCTGGAAACCAACTGAAGTGCCTATGCAGCAGCCCAGCGTGGGCAGATTCCGAAGAGCTGGAGTTGGTTGGGAGGGGAGGAGCAGCGGTTGAGCTGTTCTCCCAGCGCTTAAGGGGTCCCGGAGCCGGCCAGAGTGCAGCTAATCGAGAGAGCCCCGTTCCTCTCAGGCGACGCGCGGCCAGGAGGTCGGGCCACTCTTCACGCCGATCTGCGGCCCAGGGCACTGGCTGGCGGCCCCAGCCCTTGACAGATCGCAGTGCTTCGGAGTGTTTATTCAGTTGTCAGCAGCCGCCGGGTGACCGCCAGAGCGCGGCCCCGGCGGCGTGCGCGTTGGTCCCTGGGGCCGTGGCTGCAGCTGCCCGGCTCGGTGCTAGGTCATAGGTAGTTAACAGTGCCGGAGTAAAAGTGGGGGGTTGAGGTCCTCACTACCTCCTCCCATCTAGTTGCGATTGCTTTTTCATCTTGCAATACTTATGCACCTTCTAGGCCGGAACGCATGCATTATGCCAAAGTACTAAAGCCACCTGGGCTTCCAGGGTATCGCCAGTTTTTCCTCATTTCCCTAGTTCTAGAGAGGCAGAGGAGTGATGGTTGAAGCCATTGCTGGATGACCTGGACATTCAAAGACCTACGTAGGTTTTTAAAGGTAGCTTTACCACCACCTTGCTACGTGCCCTTGAGCACTAATGGTAGCAAAAATCGTAGTTTGTCAAGTAAATAAGTCAACACTACCCTCCTAATCTACAGGACAACCCCAGGAGGTTGGCGCTACTATCACACTCTCTCTTTGACGGAAGAGGAAACTGAGGCTCAGAAAGGCTACAGAACTCATCTAGGGTCACACAGCTATTGGCTGCCTAGCAAAGTTGAGATTCCATTCTCAAGGCATTTACCCCTTACTCTTAACCTCTGTGCTCCACAGTTTGCCTTTCTGGGTCTTTCCTTCTCTGTAGAACATGGAGTTTAAATTTCAGCTTTGCCATCGGGAATCCAGACAGGGATCCTCTTTGTCGTGGGTTCCTGCGCTGATAGGAGCAGAGAGCATCCAATTCTCTGCAACCTTCTTTTCCCTGGGATCCCGGGAGGGCCTCATCAGCTGAAGGAGGTGCAGGATGGGTGAAAGGTGCATCACCCTGTTTGCTCCTCCACACCCAGCTCAGGGAGCCTAAGCCAGTATATCTACTGGGATAACCGTGGGACTCCCATGAAGAACCTTACACAGGGAAGGGAGATGAGATGGGAGGCATGGGTGCCCGGTGACCCCAGAGATTCGTGGGTTCTTCAACCCTGGCTTATGGATGCCTGGGCTCCGGGGCATAAGGGCTGGGTAATGAATGTTCAGAAGCCGTTTGGGGGGCAGCTACTGGCAATTTTCTCTGTCCAGGGAGCTGCATGGAACTCCTCCCACAGCTTCACACTGAGAATTCAGGGCAAGGAACACCTTGGTGTGGAAATGGGGCTGGCATTTCCTCCATTTCCCTTCAAGAATTCCGAGAAAACAAGTGGCAAAGACAGAAGATTCCCAAGTTGCTGGGTGCTCCTTCTTCCCACCCACCTCTGTGCCCCATCTAACCCCAACTCACCCCCTGGCCAAAACTTATTTTTTTTTTTTAATACAGAGGTAGAGATTTAAGTCTCTCCGCCCTACCTGGGATCCAAAATCACATGACCTCGTATTCAAGCCAGACTCTCTACATTTTTTCACTCCCGGTCCCCCCCTACCAAAAAAAAAAAAAAAACTTGCAAAGGAAAGTAAGAGAGAAAATCTTGGTCTTTTCCTTTGGAACTGGAACTCTGGCTTTTCATCAAAAGCTCTTCTTCTCACAGTGCGTAGTCAAGGGAGGGGGAAAAAAAACGACTTCGAAGTAGAAATAAGAGGTGGGGAAGATAAAAGGGAGAGACAGGGATCTGGAGCATTCCAGAGGCAACTTGGCTCGAGAAGTTTTGTCTCCAAGGTCTGTCTCTACCAAAAAGACCCAAACGCATGTGGCCCTGCTTAGAACCCCTCTACAGGTTTAGAATGGAGAAGGAGGGATAAGAGGTGGCAGAATGAAGGGGGAAGGAGCTGGCCTCAAGAGCTTTATTTGGGAAAAGGAAAGGGAAGGGAAGGGGAAGGCGAGGGAGGGAGAGAGAGGGGAGAGGAAGCGGGAGAGGGCACGCGCAAAAGAAAATCTTAGTAAAGAGGAAGCAAAGTAAACAAAATCAAACACCATTTGTAGCGCAGAAAGGTGTCCACCTCTGCGAAAGTGGAAGGGAGAGCAAGCTTGATAGCTCACGTTCCCAACTTTTGCCCTCAGGGTCTCTTGTGCCTAGGGGATGCGTAACCCAAGAGGAAGAGGAATCGCGCACACGGACTTCCTGAGCCCGCACATACTTCGGATCCACAGCCAGAATTTACAGCGGTTGTGTTTACACCGTGCAAGTTAAAACCTTAGTGTAACAAATGGACAGTAAATTAAGGTCGTCGAAATGCTTTGTTGTTAAACTGCGTCTGCTTCCATTGTTGCTTCACGTAGGGTTGTCTGGAAAGCTGTGAGCCCCATTCTGACCCGCCTGATGCGGGAGGCCTGACTGCGATCGGCCGCTTCCCGCCGGGCACGCCTGTCGGTTCCAGGCTGCGCCGTCGCCGCTGACTCCTGGCGTTCCTGGGCGTTTCCTCGCTCACTTCACTCCGGGATCCCCTTCTCCTTGCTTATGTGTTGATCCCCAACAGATTTTGACTACTTTAGAAGAACTAAAACCAAACCTACCCCTCAGCACCTGCTCTAAGGCGCGAGGATCCCAACCAGCTGCTAGGTGGAGCGAAACCACGAATTCCGAGCTCCGAAATCCGAATGGTGCGAACAGTGCCACCGGCCTTGGGCCAATGGAGTCTCTCCCTGCCCTATTTCCCATCGGCCTAACTGGCTTGCAACTTCTGGTTAATCACTGTGCACCTAGAACGGCTTCCCCGGGATCAGGAGCAGAAGCAGTGTTTGGAAGAGCAGCTCCAGGAGCCACCCTCTCCCCATCGGCTTGGTGCCCAAACCCTTCCCATTTCCCTTCCTCCCTCAACTGGGCGCCAGGATGCTCCAGCCGGAAAAGAGCGCAGGCACTGGGCGTTTCCCCAAGGAGTCCCCCCGCCCCTTCTTCAAACTAGCCACTGTTTTCCCGGTTTAACCGTATAAGAAATAAATACTCCCCAGAAAGGGAAACTAAGTGCTTCTGACATGGATTTTAGGTAGGCGGCAACCGTCTTCCGCTGGGCTCAAACCTCACCAAGCAACCAACTACTAGACTACTAGTAGTCTTGTCGTAACCAATGCGGCTCGCACTGGTTATCTACCTGGGGTATTTTCATCTGTAGTCCCGATCTCTGGAACTCATAGGGACCGGGCCCTTCCCAGTAACCTGTAGGACTCTAGAAACAAGAGCTGGACTCTCGGATGCAAAGAAAAGGTTTCCGCCTCTGAGTTCTCGGTGCTTTTTAAGTTCCCGCCCTCTTGGAGCCCACCTGCTCCTCCCTCCAACCCGCCCTCTCAGATTAACAAACCATCTGTACTCCTACAGCTTTCAGATGCCGAGGAGACTCGTAGCTTACCTGGAGGAACTTGCCAGTGCCGCGGGGCGCCCACACTCTCGAAAGCCCAGTAGGGGAGGTAGGGGGAGGGTTGCGCCATATAGGCCAGTTTGGAGCGCGTGGCGGGTAGAATAGGAGAGAGTGCCTCTGAAACAGACGCTTCTCCAGGCCCGCCCCCGCCCCCGCTGCAAGGGCGCCCCCAAGGAGCAGCGCGCGCTGCCTGGCCAGGCTTGGGTTGCTGTGTGAATGGAGCGGCCAAGCCTCCTTGACTCCTCCTCCTCTCCCGGCGCCGGCCCCTCTTATTTGAGCTTTGGGAAGCTGGGGGCAGCCAGGCAGCTGGGGTAAGGAGTTCAAGGCAGCGCCCACACCCGGGGGCTCTCCGCAACCCGACAGCCTGCGGGCTCCCCCCTTCCCTCCCTCCCTCCCACTCATTCACCCACCCACCCAGACCCGGGACAGCAGCCCAGGGGCCCCGCCGCCTCCTCGCCGCGATCCTGGACTTCCTCCTGCCGCAGGAGCCGGCTTCCACGTGTGCCCCGGAGCCGGCGTCTCAGCACACGCTCCGCTTGGAGCCTGAGTGCCTTCAGCAGCCTGAGCAGCCGGGGGACCGAAGTCCTGGCGGCATCTGGACCAAGTTAGTCGCTTCCGAGTCCAGCGCCAAGCGTCCGCAGGGCCGGAGGAGCCGCGGGGTGTCCGGAACTGAGCCGCAGCAAATGGGCTCCGACGTGCGGGACTTGAACGCGCTGCTGCCGGCGGTACCCTCTTTGGGTGGCGGTGGCGGCTGCGCTTTGCCAGTGAGCGGCGCCGCGCAGTGGGCGCCAGTGCTGGACTTTGCGCCCCCGGGTGCTTCGGCTTACGGTTCGTTGGGCGGTCCTGCGCCACCGCCGGCTCCGCCGCCACCTCCGCCGCCGCCTCCGCCTCACTCCTTCATCAAACAGGAGCCGAGCTGGGGAGGCGCGGAGCCGCATGAGGAGCAGTGCCTGAGCGCCTTCACCGTCCACTTCTCCGGTCAGTTCACCGGTACAGCTGGAGCCTGTCGCTACGGACCCTTTGGTCCTCCCCCGCCGAGCCAGGCGTCCTCCGGACAGGCCAGGATGTTTCCCAATGCGCCCTACCTGCCAAGCTGCCTGGAGAGCCAGCCCGCTATTCGCAACCAGGGTGAGTAGGCCGGGGAGCGCCCCCTACACGCGGGGGCAGCGGCTCCGGGGCTCTAGTCACCGGTGGCCTCTTCATTATACTACCCCATCCCATCTCTTAGCCGGCTGCCTGTCCAGAGGCGGCGAGAGTAGCGGTAGCGGCGGCGGGAGAGAGAATGTACGTCCGCATCGGCTTTAGACGGCTTGCACGGCGGAGCGAAGTTGGGAGCTCGAAAGTTCGCTTGAGCCGGGAGGCGGTTTGGGGCCTTTCGGAGCTTCCAGGACTGTTAGTCTCCACTGAATGGGAAGAAGAGACTAGTGCAGTGTATGGTTCTGCCCTGGGAAGAGGTCTTGTTGCTGAAGGTACCACCCAATTGTCGTTAAGCATTGGGTTTTTTTTAGATATCCAGACTGGATTAGGAGGGGGACAAGCGCGGGATGCTCAGCCTGCGCTGCTTCCGTCGCTGCAAAATGTCAAGGAACATCTCTAGCCCTTATTAACAGTGTTGACCCGCATTTGGTGTACAGGTACTTGGGAACACTAGAATGAGGGGATGAATGGGCCAGTGACTAGATGGCTTTTTGGAGCATTGTTCGCGTCCGAGTATAGCTCTAGGATATTGTACAATGGAAATCTCTCTGGGGTTTTGAAAAGGCAGAGGTCACGCAGGCTGTAGGGATAGAAGAGAACCCGGTTTATCCGATTCCACGCTCTTGGGAGCCAGATCTTAACGCAGGCGGTGACATGAGTTCCTCCTTTCAGTGCTACTCGGTGCTTTTTCGTTGTGGGTTTGCGGGATTCAGCTGGAGACAAAAAAAAATATTTTTTGAGAGACTTGGGGCTAGAACAAAGGTTTATTCGTCATGTTCAGTCAATGTGAAAGGGCCTTGGCGCACAATAAGTATGTTTTCTCATCCCGTGCTGGAGGCTCCCTGCCTTCGATCTGGGCCAGCGCAGACCCTGTCTTACTGCTCACTGGTAGTTTGGTCTCTTCATTTATTCTCATTTGACTTCTTTGCTGTTGAGAATCTAGACTAATTTGGTTTGGTTCGATATTTTAGGAAATGCTTTGCTAACACAATGGCGGATGCTTTTCCTGGAGCAAAATTAGTGAGGGCCCAGGGACTGGGCTTTTTCTGAAATGCGTGGGATGGAAGATCAGGGTGTGAACTGTTTGCAGAAGGTGTTGCGCTCTCAAGTCGCAGAAGGAAAGCTGTTCTTGCCGCCTTGGTCCCTTCCTTCTTAAAAGCGTGTCTTGAGGCCATTTCTACTTTAGTCCACCTTGGAGCACCTGGCCAATCCAAAATCCCTAGCGAAACCGAAACCACCTTTTGGTCAGGAGAATCTGGGATCCGTGTCTTGGGGAGCAACCTTGAGCACACTCAAGGGGTTCCTCCACTCTAGGTCCTTTAATAAATGAAATTAGCAGTTTTTACTTAACGGATAACGGGACAGCTTAGTGTCCCATTTTCCGAAGGAGCCATCTCTGCTTAGCATACAGGTGCTACGTTTTGCGAATCTCCGGGTCTGGTTCTTCATCTGTGAGAGAACAGAGTTGGGCAAACTTGAGCTTGGATCTGGGCAAGAGTTATACACCACAGGTGCAGAAACATTGCCCTTCTCACTGTTTGGGGTCAAAACACAGAAAGTGCCAGCCCACCTAAATATCGCTGGGCCAGATACAGCTCCACTGGCAGGCAGGTGTATGCTGTGAGCCTTGAGGATTTGTGCTATTTGGAGAGGCTGGAGAAGCAACTGGGATCTAACCTCCTGGGGTCAAAAATACTGTTGTGTCATTATCTTTGTATTTGAGTCGTCTAGGTTGGATTCAGAGTTTTGAAACATGGGCTCTGTTGCTTGGATTTGGGTCCAGCCTTTTGCAGGCAGCTCTGTTTTCCTGATCCCATCAATCTGGCATGGGGAGCTGGGAGTGGTCACTACACATCTGGGGAAAATCCAGATTCCTCTAGACAGTCCCAGCCGCCACAAGTATAGAGAAAAAACACTTGAGGGACCAGGACCTGAAGGAGCAGGTGAATGCCAGTTTCCACCCTTACTGCACCTCCAGGGAAAAGCCCGATGAAGAAGATATCCCTAGACTAAGGTCATATAGTTTGTAATCCAGTTTCTGCCTATGAGTTTTTGCTCCTAGTAAAAACAAATGGATCCAGCATGCCTATCCCTTGGGGCTCACTTGGCAATAGAAGCTGGGTTGGTATGTGAGAAGCTGCTTCTTTGGGTAGGCAGCAAGGACGGGCCCTTGAGATTCCACATTTATTCCTTTGGTTTTTCAGGGTCCTGTGGCTGCCCCCAGGTATGCAAGGCCTAACCTGAGGCTTGGAAGGGAGAAGCAAAGATGCCAGCTCTCTCCAGAAAGGATTACAATGGTGATCATAACTCCCAAGACCAAACTGCAGGCTCTTGGGCTTTGGTTACCTTCCCTCAAGCAGGACCATAGGCAAGGGCGATTGCTGCTATTGCTGGCATCCGCTCACCCCCACCCCAAGCTTCTTATAAGCACTTTATTTTTCTTGTATTTCATAAATATAGCTGACATCTTCTAAATATTAATTTAGCAAACATCAACTGCCTACGCTATGCCAGGCACTGAAGACTGAATGTTAAGACAATTAATGGCCTCAGGAACCTTTGCAAGAAGCTCACAGCCTGACACTGAAGGACACTTTTATTTCTGGATGAGAAAATTCAGGGGCGAAGAGATTAGGTGTGCAAGAGGTCTCTCAGGTTGTGGTAGAGGTGGAGATTGAAGTGAGACTATTCTAGGGTTCTTTTCTAGAGATCTTGACCCCAGTGTGGAGTTTGCTTAGTTGGACGAGCACTGAACTACTTGTAATGTGTGTGATGGTTGGAAAGTCTGTCGGGGTGTAAGTGGGAGTGAGGACTTTTCTAACCCCAGCCCAAAGCAGGGTTGGGAAGGGAGGGAGAAAGAGAAGGGAGAAGAAAAGGGGAAAGAGAGAAAAGAGAAATGTTGCTTCCAGGCAGCTCTTGATCCCAAAGAACAAGCTCAGGACTAGGCCTTGGATCTCCAGGCTATTGCATGGGCACATGGTCAGAGGAATTACGCCCGAGGGTCAAAGCGCCCCCCTCTGGTCACACAGGACAGGGTATTTCTTGGGGGAAAGATGTTCCCAATCCCACTACCGCTGTGGTTATCACTTTCAGCCTCCTGAGCACCTTCCTGGCTGTCCATTCTATCCCTTAGCTTCCCCAGGGCTCCGCGGGCAAGGCAGTTCCCGGGATCCTCCGCAGCCGCGGGCGGGGTAGAGGGGTTCAGAGCGCGTCTCGCCTCTCCCAGCGGTCAAGGTTGCGCTCCCTTCCCGGGCTAGGACTAACCGTGGGAAAGGCGCTACCTTGGCTGCTTGGGCCTCTCCCTTCAAGGCCTGTACAAGGAGCCTTTGAACACGCTGCTCCTTCCCGGCTGCAGCTGTCCCTCCTCCAGCCCCCGCCCCCGCTCTCCTCGTCCGCCCCAGCGCAGGGCCCGGGCACGGTGCGCTCTAATCAGCCCAGCGTCCGATAAGCTTCTAATTAAAACAGCCCTCCTTCAGCTCAGCAGGCGCTTTCATCACTGCCCCTCCCGGAAAACCCGAGGGGGTGGTGGTTCGAGACTGGTCTCTGCTGGCGGAGAGGTCGGTGTCCCTCCCGGGAGGGGGACTAGGGAGCCTCACGGGACACCAGCATCCCTGGGCCGGTGCGATTCTGGACCACGGAGTCGGTGCCGTGCCGAAGCTGCACCCGGGGACCCGCAGCTCCTGCCACACACTTACTGTTTGAGGACCCAGTCTCCCAAGACCGCGTGGGCCTCGGGTCACGGCCTGCTCATCAGCTCAGGAATGGAGAAGGGTTTGTCTATAGAAAATTTCTTTCTCGCTTTTATTTCCACCTCCTCATTTTAAAAAGGCCCTTTCAGAAATTCGGCCTTCCCTCTGGGCAAAAATGGGTACCCAGAGCCAAATTTCGTTTGTAAGCTGATTTGTAGGCCTCAAACGGCCAGGCCTCCGCTCCCTAAAAGAAGTTCTTGGAAGCCTAAGCGTGCTCACCCACTCCCCAGAGCTAACTGGAAGGGGGCTAACCTGTCCTTACTCAGCAGGCAAGAAATGGAAGGTTTCCAGGATCATGTAGATTATAAAAGCTGGTGGTTTCTTAAATCACCAATCTTTGGCACCAATCTTTGCCTGACCTATACCATCGGGGTGATTCCAATTCGTTCCCTCCTTCCATCCCTCTCTGAAACACCACGGAAGGGAGCTGTGTTTTATTGCCCCATAGTGAACAAAAGAGACTCGATTTTTGGGGAGTGGGGGGAGGGTGGATGACTGTGTTCCAAAGATGGAGGTAATTGGCCTCCAATCCCTGTCCTGAACAAGTCTTCTTGGACACTTGTTGCAGAATCTTGATCATCCCTGGGGAATTGGAACCGTTTGCCCTGCCTCAGTCCTGGGAATTTTATGAGGTTTGAAGATCCAGAGCAGTTGAAAAGACATGGGGCTGGCTGTAGTGGCCTTGCAGGGAGGGAGCCCCAATGTGAATGTCCTGCCCCACTTCCTTGCCACTTGTTTTGAACCTCAGGTCACAGCCTTCAGAGCTTGAGCATAGATGAAAGGTCTCAGGAGTGACCTTTAGCGAGGATACTTCCCCCCCCCCCCCCCCCGGGGGCACCAACAATTTTCAAAAAGCGGGTGGATTGAATAGGTTTAAAGCAAATTTAATAACAGCATAAAAGCCTACATTTTCCAACTGAGACACCACATTCCTTTTCTCATCTTTGAGGGACACGGAAGAACGCTATAGTTTCTCGGTAGGCAAACTGGGCACTGCCATGGAGGGAAAGGGAGATATATTACCAGGTATATAGTACCACCTTGAAAGAACCCCGTCTTTTGGTCGGTGTTGTGAGGGAGTTGGCCAGGTGGATCGTGGTGTGAGGGGGGGCCAAGTGGATCGAAGAGAGGTAGGGGGACATGGGTCTGGGGTTAAGGTTTCCGGGCCGACGTTCCCCCCTCACTCCCCCCCCCCCCCCGCCCCAGCTTTCCCTAGGGCCCTGGGTGTTGTGGTGTCGGTTGTGCAGCCCAGACAGATAACATTACTCGGTAATTACTCCCCCCATTTAAAACGCAGGCCATTTAACTGGCTCCGAGTAATTAATGAAAGTTGGTGCGCGGGCCCCTGATTTACAGCTCAGAGTCAGTGCGGGGTCAGCCCAGCAGATTCATTTCGCTCGCCCATGCTGCCCCTGCGCGAGAACCGAGGTTTGTTTTGGGGGAGAACAACTTTCTCCGCCCACCAGGCGACAGGTTTTTATACCTAATCTGCCGTCGGAGGTTCGGTTTAAAAGCGACAGTCACTGTGGAAGACAAAAGCATAAACACATTGGGAAACAGCGGGAAGCTCAGCGTTTGGGCTGGGAACGAATGGGGAGCCTGTTGGAGATCCTTCTCCAGGATTTGGGCCTCGGCGTCCCGCCGGGAAGTCTTGGGCAGGTGGAGCGGAATTATATCCTCTGCTGTGAACCCGAATTCAGTGGTGGGGCATCCCTCCGCCCTGATTCTGGTTCAGATCCAGGATCCCTACCTCCCCAAGAGCTTCCCTGACGCTGAGCTTCTCTTCTCTGCTTCTCCTGCAGGATACAGCACAGTCACCTTCGACGGGACGCCCAGCTATGGCCACACGCCCTCGCACCATGCCGCGCAGTTCCCCAATCATTCCTTCAAGCACGAGGACCCCATGGGCCAGCAGGGATCTCTGGGTAAGCCAGTGGCAATGATGTGTGTGGGTCTTTACACACTTTTTCTAGACAATTGCCCCATTCCCGAATTTTCAACCCATAGCAAGTTGGGGAAGAGAAAAGAGGACATCCAAAGGAATCTTAGGAATAATTAGGCAAATTTCATCATTTAGAACGATGGTCTCTCCTTCCGTCCCAAGTGCGTTAAGTAAAGCGCCGCTCAACCAAGTCTACGTTTGTCCCGAGAGCTTTTTCGCGCCACGCGTTGACTGCTATGGGAATGTAAAGCTTTTAGCTTGCTAGAATCTGGGCGGCCTCAATGAACACGCCCCAGAATGCAGGCCCCAGTGCCCTCAGCTCAGCATGCCCTGTCCCCTACCCGCTGTCCATAGCACTCGTGGGGCGCGCTCAAACTGCTGTCTTTGGCTCTCTCCTCAGGCGAGCAGCAGTACTCCGTGCCGCCCCCGGTTTATGGCTGCCATACCCCAACCGACAGCTGCACGGGGAGCCAGGCCCTGCTGCTGAGGACGCCCTACAGCAGGTAAGAAGTTGCTGAGCAGTGTGATGGGTCCTGGGAACTCTCCAGGTGGCCGTAACATCAGATACCGGGCAACACTGGCTGCAGGCATGCAGGGTTCTGGAGTCAAAAGACCCCTTCACCTTTCTACCTGGCCAAAAAGCAAATCTCCCTCGTCTCCTGGTTGTTTTTTGTTTTGGATATAAATGAGGGCAATTGCTGTATGGAACTAAAGAGGAAGGAGTGCCACTTCCAGAGAAGTTGTTTTTTAAAAGACTCTTTCCTGGGAGGTTTATAACTTCCTCGGTACTAAAGATTGAACAGGGAGTCCACCCCTCTCTGTTCTTCCCCTTCGCCCTCTGGCCATACTGGCCAGAATACTTAGACGGCACTTACGGTGGTCCACATCCTTCTCTCCACCCAACCAACTAGACTTTTGGCCTGCAATACTTTGTAAGCTTCTTTCCCAGCGTCGTCGTGGCTGTGCGCTGGGGCACGACCCCAGCATGGGTGCCACAAGATGATCGGGTCATACGTAGCAGGGCCTTGCCTGTGCCTTGCTCCAGCCCGCAACACCATCTTGCTCTTCGCTGGAGGCAAAAGACCAGCACCCCCCTTCTAAGTTCCTCCCCCGAGGCCCTTTATCCTTCTCTTCCCCCAAATTTATTTTTCAACTTTGGGTGAACTTGGCCGGCATCCCGCGTCCCTGATAGGGTTGCCTAGTAACTGTGGCGCACACCCGGGCCTGCGCTGGGCGGGAAGGTGGGGCGGGGGCAGGAAAGTGTCCTCGCTGCTGCCCTTGTGGCCCAGGATTGGGCGCGCATTACCTCATAGCCTCCCCTCCCCGGGTGCTGCGGGGATCCTGACACCGACTGCCCCCAAACCCATCCCCATCCTCCCGCCCCTCCGCTCGGAGACCCGGGGCTGACGTCAAGGGAAGGAGGTAGTGAGGTAATGAAGGAAGGAAAAGCGCCTGTCTTGGGAGATTGGGTGGGGGAATGGCCGCGCCTGGGGACCTCCCGTCACGCAGGTGGAGGAGGGGCGCGTCCTTGTTATTGAGTACGCAGCAGCGCATCCCAATGTCCCAGCTGCACTTCTGAGATTGTGCCTGGGACTGGTCTGACTCTCTCACCCCGGACATCGTTTCCTAAAAGTTTCTAGAAAGGTATAAGGTCGCGCTTCTTCTGTTTCTGACGCCTGAAGAACGCGGACTTAAAACCTTTACTTTTTATCTGAAAATTTGACATATCTAATAGGATCTTTTGGCGGGGGGGGGAGAAGTTGGGAGAGCCAGAGAAATGGATAAAGGTCACACTGAGGCCAGTAGTCACACCTGCACACCCTGCTTTTGCTCCCTCCCTAGCTAGAAACCATTTTTGTTCTGGCATCACGGACCAGCAGACCCACCTTCTACCCCAAGCCTGCCATCTAGGCCTCCTCTCCGTGGTCAAGTCACTGAATGGTTACAGAATTCACATCCATTTTGTGCTGAAACCCCTTACCTTAGCAGAACTGTGGCACCTGGGCCATTGACATCCTTCTTAAGCTGCTTAATCCTGTTTATTGCCCGGGTGTCATTGCTGTTATTTTAGTAGCTGTAAAGGGACCAGTTGGAATAGTTCCCTATGGGAACACCTTGGCCCACCTCTCTCTCCTTGGCACCATATGGACTTTCCCCCAAGTCGAACCCCAGGCTAGAGGAAGATCCTGTATAGGAGTGGGCATTGTTGACGAAGGCTCCATATCTCCTTGGGATTTGAGGACTAGGAGGTGTTGATGTCTTTTGCAGTAGTGATGATCTGCTACATGCATATCCCTTGCTCCTCTTTCTGCCAAGCCTGAACTCTGTGGGACTCTAGGAGGGGGCCCATCAGAGAAGCTGAGCAGCCTATACAGAAGAGTCCCAGGATAAAGTAATCACAACCAGTGGTTTAATGGTAGTTCTCCAAACCACATCCCTGAGTTGGATTTTGATTTAGGGCTGAATTTGTGACTACTGTGGAAGTAGACAGGTCATTCAGATGTTTTTGTTTGTTTGTTCTCCTCTTCCTCCTCCTCTTTTAAAAAAAAAAAAAAAAAACAAACTCGTTTTTGGTGTTGGAGATTGAATCCAGGGCCTTGATCATGTTAAGCACAGGCTCTACCACTAAGCACAACCCTAGTCCCTGGTTGTATTTTATATACAAATTTCCTTCCTTCCTTTCTTCGTCCCTTCCTTCCTTCCTTCCTTTCTTCGTTCGTTCCTTCTTTCATTTCTTCCTTTCTTTCGTCCTCCTTCCCTCCCTTCTTCTTTTTGGTACCAGGGATTGAACCCAGGGACACTCAGCCACTGAGCCACATCCCTAGCCCCCTTTTATTTTTTATTTTGAGACAGGGTCTTGCTAAGTTCCTTAGGGACTCACTAAATTGCTGAGACCGGCTTCAAACTTGTGATCCTCCTGCCTCAGCCTCCTGAGCTGCTGGGATTACAGGCATATGCTTCATGCCTGGCAAATTTTCACATTTCGAATCCAGCTTCTAATTGGTCACTATAGAAAGCAATTTTGTTAGATTCATCTTTTAGAAATATTTGAAGACCACTAGAAGAAGGTGTTCTTCTTTCTATATAATTAAGAAACTTTCTTTGGTTTTGTTTTTACATGAATTCTATCCTACAGTTTTCTTCTGTTATAGAAATTTCCTCAGTAGAAACATCTCAAAAAAGAATTTGTGACCCCTGTAGAAAAATTTGCTCCCTTAAAGTATGTGCTTTTGAATCTTTGACGTTCCAGCCAATCTAAATTCACAACATTGCCAATCACTTTTCCAAATCATGTCCTTCCCATGTACTAAGGATGAATGAATAGGTAAACAGATGTTTTACAATTGGGCCTGTGCACCAACATTACTGTAGTTATATGGTTTTCTTCTTTCCTATTCTAAAATAAATTTGAAGGGTATTTAAATGCTTTTGTGAATGCCATGTTTGAAAAACATAGAAAATAAGATGAAATTTTAATTGTCCAATGGCTTACCTTTTGAATTTTATATATTCATTAGTTCTTTCTCCTAGTCCCTGGGTCCATTCCTTTTTCTTTCTAAAATTGGGACCTCTTGGGAAAGACTTGCTTGTATCTTGTTTGCTTTGTTGCATTTGACCCCCTGAGGCAGACTGCTCAGCTTTTCCCCACCATTTCCTCTCCCTTCCCCCACACAAAGCTTTTGTCTCCCCAGACTTGGACTCTTCTTTTTCTTCTCAACCTGAAATGGTGGCAGTGGCATATATCTGATATAAAATAAGCAGTGTACACTGTGAATTTACTTTGAGAAATCTCAAAGTTCCGCTTCTTTCCTTGTCCCTTGCATAATTCTCTCCTCTCTCTCAGGTAACAGATCTGAGAAGTCACAGCTGCTCACATTATTGTGTGAATATGAACAGCAACGAATAGAAAATACCCCTACTCAACTCACAGGAAGTGATTGGAAATGGTTTCCCTTATCCATCTGACCTAGGCCCCTGGCCCTCTAATACTAAGGTGGGCAATTTTGTCTAAACGTCACCAAAGCTTCTGAAACCAGGTGCTGGCCTTTATGGAACCCAGTGACCACAGCTGGATGAAAGCATGATTCCTTATAATAAGCCATGCTAGCTGTGTGCTATTGGGCACTCTGCCAAGGGCTTCTTCAGTTCCCTCATTTAGCCTTTCTGACTACTCATGACAAAATTAGACTCAATTTGACGTTCTCAAGGTCATATAGTAAGTGAGAATTGGAACCAGGATTTGATTCTCAGTCTTTATAACTTCGAAGATTGTCTGTGCTCTGAATCACCAAGAAATGCTGGACCACTCAGTGTTCTTTGTCTGGATAATCCCTTTATACTTACTTCCATGCCTTCACCTTTTGCTGGTAAATAATAAGAGCAAATGCTTATGCAGATTTACTGTGCACCAGGTCTCATTGTAAGCACCTTACAAATCCTAACACTTCTTTAATCCCCATAAAAACAAGTCAAGGTCAGCAATGGGTTATCACTCCCATTTTACAGAGGAAGAAGCTGAGGCCCTGAGAGGTGAACCTCCCCAGTGTGACACAGTAAGGGACAGATTTCTTGTTCAGATTCAAGTAGTGAGGTTTCAGAATCCATCCTCCTGCCCTCTGCACCCATGTGGATAAGTGCCATTCTCTTTTTGAAGATAGAATTTGTCCTGGGTCTTACTGGAGGACTTTATCCCCCACAGTTGTGAAAGTCTTTTACAATCCCTAGAAAGCTCTTAGTGGCTTAGGGGCAGCATTTTCCTTGGTGAATACTGTTAGAAGTGGACTTGAGCTTTCTCCTGAAATCCTAACTCATAAAACAGCTGTCTTTCAAACTCCAGACCACTCCAGCTCTCTCATTACCAATGGGCATGAACTACTGGGGAGAAGCTCAGTACAGGCACCTAAAGAATTCCAGGGCATGGACCTTTCTGTCCGTTCATCTGACCCAAGAGGACTGACTACTTTGTGCTTGTCCAGAAGCAAGGTCCCAGGAAGGGCAGACCCCATTGATGTCCAGGGGGTAGAGGGTGGGCAGTGAAGTCCAACCTCACTGAATATCACCTCACCAGGCAGCCAGCTGAACCTTCCCTTCTTTCCTCCTTTGCTCCATCTTCTCCAGTCCCCTTCTCTCTCTTTTGCTTGCTGTCCTTGGAGCCCTTACTGCGCCTACTTCATGAATTGATCCTCCGAGCTGTTTTGAAAAGTTCTGGACTTTAAAGCATATTCCCATTCACACCGATTTTTAAAAAGACATTCTGTTTTTTTTTTTCTCTTCTATTCCTTTATTAGCTTTGTGTATCTTTCTTTAGCTACTGTGCTGGATAAATGAGGATATATCCATTTCCTCTATTTTGGCCCTTTATCAGGTAATACCGCTTCAACTCTGGAAGTATACTGCCTTTCATATGAGAGAAACCTCCATGGCAGCCATAGGGGTTCTGTGGAATCTCAGCATCTGCAGGTCAATGGGAAGTGCACCACTCACCATTTGGGTTGGCCTCCGACGTAGACATAAATCAGATGACAACCGGTGCTTAAGAAAATAAAGGCATAATTAATAACGTCTCTTTTCATGTGCACCCATGTGAGTGTTACTTGGTGTTTTCACCTAGTACAATACTACTATTTGCCTTCCACACAGGTAGGCAAAATGGAAGATCTCAAATACTTTGCCTGATGGTAGATAGTGTTATCAAAGCCACAGGCTTGAACTGAGCTTGTCTCCAGGGATAAGGAAAAATCAGTTCCAAATATTTCTGTTAATTTTTGTGCTGACCAAGTGTTTATTAATAAAAATCACATCCCCAGTGGGGTTTTCTCTTGGTTAGCTGGAGAGCTTGAGAGAAATTATAATACCAAGAAAGTGACTATGAAATAATTATTCACTGTAGCCTGCTGGGCAGAAAGTTCAGGCAGGCAGCTTCCAAGATGCTTTGGAGGGAAGAGAGCAGGAAAGGGCCATGTGGATGTCTGCATGCAGCCTTAGCATGAACCTTGATTAGTAGGTAGAGGTAAACCAGCAGAGGCCTTTCCCTTAGTATGGAACAGGGCCATGATAGCAGAAACTGGAAAACATCATGAATTCATATCACAGAAAACAGTTATCTCAACTTTTTTTTTTTTTGATCCAGTGGGGGAAACTTTTCTAGTACCAAGATGCTACTTTGCAAACAGCTAGCAATCATGTGGCAGAAGAAACCCTATCTCAGCAAGGCTGAAAGATTGTGGTCCAATGGTGACATGAACCTTTCTTTCTTGTCCTGCCCAACATAGTAAACACTTATGATGCAAAATGTGCTCGGATCACACGTGCATTTGAAGAGTGGGGGAGTCCTGGTCTAGATAATAGCTGAGGTTGTTTTTTTTTTTTCCTTCCTTTCTTTTTGTGCAGAGGTCGAGAACTCAGTAATACTGCAGTCCAGGCCAAAACAAACTCTATATGATGTACTACTGATTTCCTTTTAAGTTCCCTTTTTTGCTAAGACTGACTTCCTTTTATTTTACTCCAACTTGCATTAATCCCAGTTATAGTAGTTTCTTTCCTCTCTCCCTTGCTTCTAACTTCAAACATTTTTTTTTAACATAGGAAACAAGTGACTTTTTTTTTTTTAAAGATCTACTTTAAAAAATAAAGGATCCCATGACTTTGGAATATATTTTGGCAGCCTGCAGTTTCAGAGTTCACTTCCAAACAGGCAGAGTTCAAGCTGAAATGCCTACGTGACCACCATTGTGGTCACCGTGAGCCAAACTACCTGCTTATCTGATCTCCTCTGGGAATGAGATAGTCGACACCTACAGTGGTCATTTTATAATTAGAGGTTTTTATTTGCGAGAGGCCATAAATTCCCTGAACAGTGCTATCTCTTTCTGTGCACTTCCATGATGAGAGCTGGGTGTTGATCGATTGCCCAAGGAGATCAGAGCCCAAGCATGCTTAGGCCTGGTATTTTTAGCCCAAGTTCACATTCTGTCCTCTCTCCGGCAGCAGTTATTGTTACTGTTGTCATTGACTTCCATAGGAAAGGTTGTGCCAGCCAGGCCAACTGACTGAGCCATGGTGGAGCCCCAGCCAGCAGAAGGCAGGATGTGGTTAAAACTGAGCTCCGATCCTATCTCAGGAAACCTATTAGTAGCCTGGGGATTTTCTGGAAGTCCTTCTCTCCCACCCGCTATCCCCACCTCCTGTCCCCTTCTCGGGGTTTGCAGGCTGAGCTTACAGGACAACTTGAATCACAAAGTGGGGTTCCTCTTGGGACCTTAGTTCACTGAAGCGGATGCCTGGGCATCTTTCACCATTGTGCCTTCCTGGGGACGGAGTTGGTCAGAACATTTCCTGGAGCATGTTCTCTTCAATCTCCAGATTCTTGTCTGTATTATTTAAGTGGTAGTGAGAGGACTAGGCTCAGAGGCCAAGTAATGCCTGAGGGACATCAAGCATGCCAGCACTAGGCACTTTTCAGAGTCCAGTTCTCATCTCATAAATGGAGGTCATAATTATGCTGATGTCACAAAATTGTTATGCGTGATACTGAGGATGTATGTAAGTGCTATGCAAATTTTGATAGGTTAGAAGAGATTCAGTTATATTAATTATCTGTATCATCTTCAAAGAGCCATTTCTTTTTTAAAAAAACATTTTTTGTTGTAGATGGACACAATACTTTTATTTATTTATTTATGTGGTGCTGAGGATTGAACCCAGGGCCTTACACATGCAAGGCAAGCACTCTACCACTGAGCCATAACCCCAGCCTCCATTGCTTTTTTTGAGCCTCAGAATATCCCTATAAAAGTTAGACTGAAAGATCAATATTCCCATTTAATGGATCAGAATATTGAGGTTCAGAGAGCTGAACTGTGCTTTGCTTGATGTCCCCAAACTTATAAGAACCACCATCCAATGGAAACATAATGCAAGCCATTCATGTAATTTGAAATTTGCCATTACGCACTTTAAAACCACATTAAAATAAGAACATATAAAATTAATTTTGAAGTGTTGTAGTTAACCCAATCTAGCCCAAATATTATTTCAGTGTATGGCACTGGCCATAGTTCCAGTGCTCAGTAGCTACATGTGGCTGGTAGCTATCCTATTGGACAATGCAGAACAGAGCATTTATTAAGCAATCACTAGGAAGATAAATACACATTTAAGACATAGACCCTGTATTTGAGAAAGTTTGCATTCTGGGGACCAAGGAAATGGCCTTAAAATATATTTTTTTCTTGTTATCCTCCTATGTGGAGACCCTTTGGAATCAGTGGGACTGTGCTTTTAAGTCTGAGAAAGTTTCTGAATCATAAAGTTAGATATTTTGGGTTTGTGCATAAACTTCTGTCACTCATCATCTTTTCCTATCATATTCTTCATCTTATGCAAAGATTAAATAATTTCAGAAAGATCCCACATCCCCAAAGGGCCTAGAAAAATTGTCAGCTGGGGCTGAGTGATTTTAGTTGGTGAACAATTTTTTAAAAATTAGTGACAAAAATATAGAGCTACCTGGGGAATACAATGCCTGTTGGCTGAGATTAATGGCAAGATTAATAAATGGATTGCTTGATGAAAAGGTGCAGGAGAACAAAAACCAGTGGAAAGATTGTGGAGGAGGCCGCTTATTAATGAACTGTCAGCCCAAAGAAAGTTCAAGAAACTCTCCTGTGGTAAATGCGGCAGGCTGGCACTTCTAATAAAAGTTGGGGTCCTTCAGGAATTAATTACACCAGCCTTACAGCAAGAATTTGTGGAATTGCGAAATGTAGTGGCACAGACCAGCACGGGCTGCTGTTGCAAACAGGGAAGCTGCAGGAGAAAGTAATCATTTTTTTCATTGATATGTAGGATATTGTAGTAGCATAATAGCCAGTTGGACATGGGGATGAATGATGGGGTCCAGATATACGCTGACTAATGAAATTATGCATACTTGGAGTTTGAAGTCACTTCACTTTTCATATGCAAAGTTCCCTCCTGCAATCTGATTTCCTCCTTATCCCATGTGCCCAACACCAAGGAGTTCTAAATAATTTGCAGAGTGATTATATGTGAGTCAGATGGACTCCACCATGATTTATCAAGCTATGCAGAGGGAGCCCAGTATTCATTTATTCCATGTTGCTGGAATTTCTCTTACCCCTCCACAAGTCCCTAGTTCAGTTGGCCTGAGCAAACCCTCTCAGTTGCAACACTAATTTTTAATTCAGAAAGGAATGCCATGACAAGACGGAGATTGTCCAGGATTTGGGATCTGATATCACACGGTAGATATTGAAGGCTGCTTATCTTCTTTCACTTCTGCCACGAAGGTAGAGTGAACATTTTCTCCTGTAATGTGTTTAGACGTGAGGTTTCCAGACAAACCATTAATCTCTAGGGTCTCTGGTTTCATGATTAACCATTTCAGTCCTGGCCTCAATTTAATCTCAATAGGTCTTAGTAATTCAGATTTCTGGTAATTGATTTATGTGCTGATTTTCTTAGGAATAAGATAAACATAAAGGAGAAAGAAAGGCTTTTGATTGGTTTGCATGATGGTGTGTTTTTTCTTTTGGGATCTTAATGTAAATCATTGACTGCTTTTTTTCTTTTTTTTTTTTTAACTCCATTTGACTCGTACCAGGATTATAAACTTATATAGAGAATAATTCCTTCAGCTGGGCACAAAGTTTATCATCCTCTTTCTTTGGCTTGTCACATCCTTGTGTATTAGGTCATCCATCACCCATCACTCGGACTTTTCAGGCCCTCATAATCCACATGATACTTATCCTTTTGATTAAAACAACTTAATGGCCTTTTCACGAATAATTAATCTGCTGTCTTTTGACTCTCAGCTCCAGGCTTTTAACTTTAATGTTGAGTTATCCAGCCTGTGTTGCCTTTCAAAGTTTCCTTCCCTTCAGTCTCTTCTCCTCCAAGGTTTAATACCTCTTTAGAAATGCCAGTGTTTGCTATACTAAGGTTTTGTAAAAAGCTTCCAAATTACCCTCACATCCCTTCTGCTGTGTGTGAAGTGAATAACTATTCAGAAATCAGTGGGATGGAATGAAAATAATTTCAGACACACATATTCTGTCATTCTGGAAAATGCAGAGGCTTGCACTGTAAAGACAGATTAAAACTCCATTGCTTTTGAAGACAATTGTATTTGTGCTTGTGAGTGTGCATGCACACGTGTGCATAGTTATATGTTTCTAACTCTGGGTGTTTTCCAACAGTGACAATTTATATCAGATGACCTCCCAGCTTGAATGCATGACCTGGAATCAGATGAACTTAGGAGCCACCTTAAAGGGGTAAGGTTTTTATTCCATTGCCCTTCAACAGCGACTTCTACCTATTCAAGTCATTTTAAAGGTGCTTATAACTTACAAAGGGCGTACAGTTTTAGAAAAATGTAGCATTAAAATGTTTTCTTCTGTCCTCCAGTTGGTGGGCTGTGTTCATTAAATTTTCAAAAACACAAACGGGATGTTTTGTCTGGACTAAGGGAATTGAGAATATTGGAGACATTTAATATGGTCTCTCCTTGTTGAATGTTTTAAAATTCTGCAAGGTTGTGTCCATGCAGCCTTGTTTAATGTTTGGCTAGCAGCATCACAGATGTTAACCATTATACTATCTTAACCAAGAAATGCTTTGCATGTAAAATATCCAGAATCCAAATTAGTATCTGTGTGAGGATGATTTGGAAAATCCAAAGTCAGATGTGCTCATACCTAATTGCACCAACAGGTTTTGCTCACACACAATATACAGCCACCATAGAGAGAGTTCAGTTGCCGAACATACGAGCTTCTCCTTGCACCTAAAAATGAAGGAAGGATGGAACACAGGTGGGTGGGGCTGGCTTTCAGCAATAAAAGATCTCACTTTGTTTTCTAACAAGTCTTGAGGAGGTGGCAGTAGGATACCACACTCATGAAGTGCTTGTGATGTAGCAGGTACTTTCCTAGGTTACCTTGGCTTCTCTCCTAACAGCCTTATGAGGTGTAGGTACTGTAGTTACCTGTTTTATAAGCTCAGAGAGTCACGTAACTTCCCAGGTTCACATCCTACTAAGTGGTAGTGCTGGGATTCCAAGTCCAGATCTGTCCAGAGATTTCCAAAGCCCAGGCTCTGTCCAGCCTCTCTCCAGTGCCTTCCAAATCCTACTACTGGCCTAGTGGGATTGGGGACTTAGTTCAGCACTCTTGATGAGTCAGCTAGCATCAATGTCTCCGTGTATTCCGTGGTTTCTCATTAGATTCTGGGATCAGGGGGGCTTTCCAGAGCCCCCATGCTCCATTCCCCATTCCCACCTCTTCTTCTCTTCTAGAGTTGCTACTGGGAGCTCCAGCTCAGTGAAATGGACAGAAGGGCAGAGCAAGTGAGTGACCAATGGCCTTGTTGACTGACGTCTGGGGCAATGCAGGAGTTAGGACTGACATGGGTAATCAGGGAGCAGCTGGGGGGTGGGAAAATATATCCCTACTCCCCGCCTCTTCATGTTTATCATAGACATGCTACAGGTCAAATGGAGGTAGAAATGTTTCTTTTCAGCATACCCCTGGAAAACTTTTTTTTTTTTTGGTACCAAGGGTACCAAGGATTGAACCCAGGGGTGCATAACCACTGAGCCACATACCCAGCCCTTTTTATTTTTTATTTAGAGATAGGGTCTCACTAAGTTGCTTAGGGCCTCACAAGTTGCTAAGGCTGGCTTTGAGCTTACAGTCCTGCTGCCTCCGCCTTCTGAGCCACTGGGATTACAGGCGTGTGCCACTGTGCCTGGCTTGGGAAATAATTTTTTAAAATCATGCAGCAAGAACTCTGTTCATTTTTTTGTGAGTGTGTCACAAAACACCAAATTTGTGACATTACCTATGTTAGATTAGTCAAGTCTTTCAGTCTTGACTAATTCTTTACCTTTGAATCTCCCAAGGAGAACTTAGTTTTTACCCTAAATCTGTGGCCAGGCTTTGTGAAGACTTTTTTTTTTTTTTTTCATTCGCAAACATTTGTGTCTTCTTCAGCTTTATACCTGCACCCTGGAGCATTTCTATGGCTATTTTGTTTTGTTTTATTTTCTCTGCTGAAACACCAGTTAGGTTGCATCTTTCTTCCTTCTTTTGTTGGCTCAGTTCTGTTTTTTGGATCATCCTTCAGTGATCAACTTCTAAGACTTAACTCTCAGATCTTTCTCCCCACCCCCACTCCAATTTTTCTGCTCTTGTATCCAAATCTCCACTTCCTCTCTCTGGATTCCAAAGTAGAAAGCCTTCTGTTGCTTTGGATTCTTCTCTTCCCACTTCCATCCAAGGGGCAGCTGACAATTTTAGCCTTCTGGCCTCCTCTGCTGCCAGCTTCTTTTACATTTCTTGGCTTTTCGGGTCCCACCCTGTATTTCTGAATTCCTTCCTTTCCTTCTCTCAGAACTTAGTAACTCTTCTCATATTAAATGCCAACAACAGACAGAACATGATTGCCAAGTGAGAAGTATGTTTCAAATTTTAGAATTTCTGCATGCTGGACTACAGGGTTGGTTGGTTGGTTTAATTACAAAAATTACAGATAAGGAATCTTGGCATGGTTTGAATCCTGATCTTTCCAGAGTTGAGATAATTTTGATGCTTTTAAAGGTCTTCAGATATGTGATATTAGTCACTAGTTGGGGAGTCAGAAATTGTAATATAAGGATGAAAGCACAAAGTGCAAATAGTTTTTGTTCAATCTTGTGTAAGAGGAAAAAAAAACTAAAAGTTTTCATTGATTGGCTATTTACATCTTGGAAGGATTTCTGAAGTTAAAATTTTTTAATACAATCTTTATTCAGAAAGCTTTAGAACAAGGATCCAATAGCCCCAATGTATAGTCCCACATAAAAACAAAAAATTACAATTGTCTAATTTTATTTTCCTCCCCCCCCCCACTTTTTTTTTTTTTTGTACCAGGGATTGAACCCAGGGTACTTAACCACTAAGCCACACCCCCAGCCCATTTTATTTTTCAGTTTTGAGACAGGGACTCATTAAGTTGCTGAGGGCCTCACTGAATTGCTGAGGCCAGCTTTCAACTTTCAATCCTCCTGCCTCAGCCTCCAGAGTTCCTGGGATTACAAGTGTGTGCCACTGTACCTGTCAACAATTGTTTAATTTTTCTGACATCTTCTCTTACATGGTAGATTTATCCCTTAGAACATATTTAAGTCAATTGATTTCTACTTCCATTTTGTGAATTCCCATTTATTTAAGGGTATATGTAGGGCTTTACATGTTTTCTCTGATGACCTTACTACTGTCATCACCCACTTTCCACCCCAAAGCTATGGTCATGTCCAGATGAGGCTGGAGAGATTAAGCCACTTAACCCAGTCCATGGAGTAAGTGGCAGAGCCATGTTGGAATTAGTTCTTCCTGACTCTGGGACCTGGCCTTAGAGTTTCTTAGACTTTAAGATTATGACCACAGTTAGAAATACCTTTTACACTGAGCTCCAATAGACACACAAAGCACAAATTTTCACTAAGCAGTATTTATCCTTATGATATGTTTTTGCTCTGCTGATCTTTTGTACCCTATTCCACATCATTTTAAAAAATACTGGCTGTGACATACTAGACTGATTTTACAGTGCACTGATGTGTCACAACTCCATTTTGCCTCTTTTTACTCTCAAAGATGGTGACTCCTTAGCTCTTTCCTCTGAACCCATGAACAGCTGAGAACTGAATTTGGGTGGATCTTAAATTCCAGTAGAAAAACTGGCTTCTTCCCAGAAGAGACACAATCCAGGGTGGAGTCATTATTCCCTCTGATACTGAATTTACTTTCTTTTGCCATGATACAAACATGGTTAATATGGAAAATACATTTGGGAAATGAAACGATACTTCATGAAGTAGAGAAAGACAACTTTTTGCTTTCATCCTTAACTAGTAGTATCCTGACATGGGAAAAATCATGGTGGCAAGCTAGAGCTATAGCAGGAAAAACTGGCTTGTTGGGGGCAAGAGAGAGTACCAGAGAGAACCTAGGGACTAACTTGCTTAGGGCCTTGCTAACTTGCTGAGGCTGGTCTTGAACTTGTGATCCTCCTGCCTCAGACTCCTGAGTTGCTGGGATTACGGGCATTTGCCACCATGCCAGGCTTAGCATAATTTAAAAAAGACATAATTTCCATATCACTTGTGAAAATAAGGCATGCTTAATTTTTAATGAAATATTATATGCTTTAGATGAAATACCACTGAATACTTGCTCATGTCTTCTTTCCTTGAAAGCTACTCAAAAAAAAAAAAGTGACTCCAAAAAAAAATAGGCTTGTTTCCTTGTGTTCTAAGTAAGTGCACGGAGACACCTTTATTAAATATCAGCAGCAGTGCTGGAATGGGTGAGGATACGATTTTGAAGTAGAGGATGATATGGTAGGGAGTTGCTAATGCCCACTGACTGAGTCCTTGGTCCTCCTTCTTCCTTTACTCGTTTTCTCTCTCCATCTTTTTTTTTTCTTTCTTCCTTTGGTGCTGGGGATTGAACCCAGGGCCTCAGGCACGCCCAGCAAATGCTCTACCACTGAGCCACATCCCCACCCTGCTTTACTCATTTTCTTACTTCTGCTTGTCTGTTGGGATCAAAGCTACTTTTATGACCTCAAATGGAAGAATCTCATTTTTCAATTTATGTCAGAAAGAAGATACTGAAACCTTCTTTCATGAAACCACTTTCCGTCACCCATAAACAAATGAAATTAGATTTTAAAAGCAGGTCCGTGGTGGGGGAAATTGCTGAGGAATTTTTCTAAGATTAGTCTGCCTTTATGAATCCTATTCATGAAGCCTTGTACTGTTAGCTTTTCATTTCTTTAAAAACATTTTCTATGAGTATTCTTAAGGGTTGCTGATTTACAAAGGTTGCTAATAAGCCTTGGCTACCCTGTTGGCCTCTGTTTTGTCTCTTCTGAAGAAAATATCCTGCAAAATGGAGAAACACATCAACCTTGACTGTGGTCCAAGTTATTAAAGAGAGGAGGAAGTTACTCTGTGGGGACTGGGGTAGGGGGAGTGGGAAATGGAACACAATAGAAATGTAAAAGGAGTGCTGAGCAAAATGAATGTCCCTTCACTGCTCCAAGAAGTTCACAGACTGTTGGGAACACACAGTATTTGACCTGAGGATGCTCGAAAGGAAAAACGAGAAGACTCCCAGTGAGTGATGTATGGTGCAAACAAAGCTGTGCCTTTTGGTAGGGCCAAGGCTGTCGAATCTGGAGAAAATCCTCGCTAGACATGGTCTCATCCCTGAGAACCTGTGCCAAAAGAGATAGCTGAGCCTCTGGCCGGGAGCTCCACACGCAGCCCCGTGCCTTCCCTTGTGGGCTTGTGAACATAAGGTACCCGTCCCGGAGATTTACTTCTTGAAAGCAGATAGCCTGCTTTTAAGTGGCTGCTAGAGCTTGAGATGCAAAGCAAAGGTGGGGAGCCTCAGTTCTGGGAATCTCAGCAGTCCCGTGAACAGGCGCATTCCTGAGCGCACTCCTCCATCTCCACCCCCAGCAGGATTTCCCCCTTTGAAACAGCAACACGTAAGTCGTGTGTCGTTGAAGCAGCTCTTTCTTTATTATTGCCTTGTATCGGACTTAACTACCAGAAGGAATAATGAAGTCCTGTTCCATGATGATGGAGCTGATGACCTAGTGCTATCCCCCCTCCATGCCCCCACTTAAGGAAGACTAATTCAGATGCTTCTTGGCCCTCATGACTCACTTTCCTGCTGCTACTTTTACCTTCCCTGGCTGTTGGCCTTTCCCGCTCTTTTTTCTTGGGGCATGTATTCAACTAATGTATTTGTATTTATTAAGTAAGTAAGATATATAAATTATAGAACATTTAGAAAATACAATTATACAGGGAAGGAAATCACCCCACCCCCCAGTAACTTAAATCAAGCTATGAATGGTGGATAAAGGGGTGATTGTGTCTCGCATGGGGAGAGGGGACATCAGATGAGGGAGGATATCTTCACTACCCCAAGGAGAATTTTGGAACTCTTATATCTTCAGCTTCCTCTGGGCCCTTGTGAGACTATCTGCTCATCATTTATAAGAACAGATCATATCGTCTAGCTAGAAAAAATATTGATCTAGAATGCACACTGATAAAAAGTCATCCAGATGTTTCTTAGAAATAAGGGGCTACTGCCTTGTTTCATAAGAGTTTTTCTACTGAAAGTGGACAAGTTCATGTATTCTAGCTTTATTTCCATCTCTTAATTTTTAACACAAAGTCACAAAAGGAATGCTTTATAGGCGAAGATGGTGACTTTATCCAAAATAAAAACAGCCTTTTTCCCCCTTTGATTAGAACAGTAACACAGGCTTATCACTTAAAAA